CCACGGGACTGACGGGGAGCTGAGTTCTCTTTCCTCCCAACGGTGGTGTTTATAAGAAATGAAGCTCCGCAGCAGCCATCAGCGGCAGCCCACACTGTCACCCCGCCCCACTCTCAGGGGGTTCCGGAACAGCCCTGAGCACTGGAGCAGTTCCTTGGCTCAATATTCCATCATGACCCCCTAGTGATTTTCCAGCCAGCTTCAGCCCCCCATTCTGCGTTTAGGAATTTTATAACAATACAACGTTTATTCTGCTGTGTCATACAGCATTTTTTGCCAAACCTTTGAGAGGGGAGGGGCTGGTCCGGTGCCCCAGTGTATCTCCAGGACCAAACCTGGGGTTGACTGAAAAGCAGGCTTGCGTGCGATTCATATATGTTGAATGAATTAAGGGACTTTCTTTCTCACCAATTAGGCTCCTTGCAGGCAGGGTGATGACCCTTGGATTCTGCCTTCAAGCTTTTGGATGCTTTTATTTCTGGCTTGTGTTCTGCAATTCACAGTTTAGGACTGCCTGCCTCTCAGGTTTCTGTGAAAATAGAGATGAAGGCTTTGAGCATTTCAGAGAGCCCTACTACTTCTGCACCTGAAAGGCTGGAAGGCATGCTGGGGGGTGTTTGTCTGCTTTGGGGACTGTGGCCCCCTCTCTGGGTAGCAGGCTCCACAGGTAGCAGGTATCCCAGTCAAAAACCTAGTTCAGGTCAGGCGCCGTGGCTCACGCCTGTAATCCCAGCACTTGCCCGTAATCCCACCACTTGCCCGTAATCCCAGCACTTTGGGAGGTCGAGGCAGTGCATCACCTGAGGTAAGGAGTTGGAGACCAGCCTGGCCAACGTGGTGAAACCCCATCTCTGCCAAAAATACAAAAATTAGCTGGGTGAGGTGGTGGGTTAGCTATTTGGGAGGCTGAGGCAGGAGAAGTGCTGAACCCGGGGAGGCAAAGGTTGCAGTGAGCCGAGATCACGTCGCTGCACTCCAGCCTGGGTGACAGAGGAAGACTCCACCTCAAACAAAACAAAACAATAAAACACCTTGTTCAAACCTCACTGGCACCTGCTCCTCAGCGCTCACAAACTCTCATGGTGGGCACTCTGCAGGGGAGAGCAAAGATGGCAGCATCACCTTAGTGTGGTCTGTGTGGCCCTGTGCATGGATGTGTGTGTGCATGGTGACACATTGGGAGCCATGTTTCTGGGCTTCAGGACTAACTGCAGCCCAGTTAGGGGGTGAACAGTGTTTTGAGAGCCTGAGGGAGGGAACTGGGGACAAGAATTGTCTGTCAGGGTAGAGGCTCCCACAGGGTGTGTGAATGTGTGTGTGAGATGATCTTGCCTTCAGCATCCTGATTGCAGAAGTCACTTCAAAGGAGGCCCTGCCAGGCAGTTAGCCTCCTCTTGCCAGCACAGAAAAATCCAGGCCCCAATACAGACAGGCCACACAATGAATTCACCCTCATCGAGTGAGGGTATGGATGAGAGGTATCTGTAAGGAAGACCTCGCGCAGTACAGGGTGCTGGCTACCCTCAGCTAATCCCTAGCTCGCTTCAGCTGCTGGGCATGAGGAACCTGCTAAGATTTCCCACAGAAAACACGTAGAGTTATTTTTCTCACAGAAAAAATGTAGACTTTGTTCCCCAGAGTTTGTTCCCACCACGTATAAAGTGACTAGTGGTGAAAAGGCAACACATGAAAGTTAAGAACCAAAGGGGTCCAAGGAGGGAAAAGAAAGGACTTCTGGTTGATTGCTTTGCGGGCATTTTGAAGAGATCAGGCATATGCTCTGGGCCTTAAAAAAAGACACAGAGATTGAAGTGGTGGGGTGGGCAAGGGAGAGGGAGATTGAGAGAGGACGAGTGTTGCCAAGTATCCTGAGGAGATAGGGATGAGGGGACAAACACAGTGTGTTCAGAGAATGGAAACACAGGGAAAGGTTCATGCGTTCCTGTTCATACATTTCATTTGACTTATGTCTTACAGTTTGGAAATAATTTTGATAGTCTAATTTTATATTTAGGAGAGATGGAGACAGATGATCTCTATTTTACAGATAAGAGAATTGAGCCCCAGAGAGGGACAGTAACTTGCTAAGATCACATAGCAAGTGGAAAAAGCACAATAAGAACTCAGGCTTTCAGACTCAAATCCTGTGTTCTCTTTTCATCCCCCTTTAGTTTCATCTTTCCTACTGCCAAGGGTAGGGAAGCTGTCAGGGACAGATGGTTGGAATGGGACGCCAGGACCAGACTGAGCAAAGATTTGAATGTGGGGCTGAATGTAGGGGAGCTCAGAAGGCTCCTGGGTGGCCCTGAGTGTTAAGGAGATCATCCAAGTTAGGGAGATCATTCCAGTGCAGAAGCACCATTTTCCCCATCTACCTGGGCAGGACTGATAGGCAGGGAGGCCCAGGGGGAGGTTGGGGCAACAATAGTCTGGTCCTGGACTATGAAATCACAACCAGATACAGGGAAGGAAGACCCAGAAGACGGTGGGAGAGAAAAGGGCTGGCTCCGAATTACTAAGAGCCTACAGGAGCCTACGTTTTCTGCTGGGGATCACAGGGAATGTTCTACATCTTAGAATGTGATTCACCAAAAGCCATTACAATAAAAATGTTGGGTACTTAAACATGGCTTAGCTTTATTTCACTGAGTCGGAGTATAGTACCCCTAGTCATAATAATCAGATTCTTATAGGCTTCAAAATAAAATAAGAATCCCTAAGGTTAAAAAAAAAAAGGTCAAAGATGTAAATGTAAATGACAGTTTCATTGGTAAATCCTAACTGGGGAATTTCTCCTAAGCAAAAAATTATTGATGTGCACAAAGATTTAGCTAATAGTGTTGTTTGTATTATGAAAAAATGGAAATAACCTAACTGTCCTACAATAGGGGATTAATTGGGTAAATTTTTATTTATCCTTATGAAAGAATAATATATACCTATTGCAAATGATATTGCATAAGTACATTTCATGACATGGAAAGATGCTCATTATGGCTAAATATACATACACATTACAGGTATATTCATACCTGTATCTGTGAATTAAAATTAAGTTTTTGTTTTAAAGTACTTTTTATAGTCTCCTGTTGCCTTCACAGGGTCACTGTGGTCAATTTATCAGGAGACAAGGATGCAAACTTCCTTTCCCTAATCTCATCCTGAATTTTCCAGTGGGTGTGTCAGGTTCTCAGGGGCAAGACACGCATCTATTTGCTGTATCAAGAAAGGATCCCACAACTCAGGAGTCACTTGTTTTCTCTCATTCTTGCTCAGAAGGTCTTGGTCCCTGTAGCAAGTCCCCACTCCCATTTGTCACTTAAAGTACCCCAAACCCCATCTTTCCATTCCAGAGTGTCATTGCCCTCCACTTTGCTTAACACTCAGTTAGGTTCCTTCCTCAGTTTCTTCTACCTCCTTTCCTCTCCTAGCTCCTGACTCACCTCTATCTGGTAGACAGTTTTGCCCATTTCTGCTGGTACTGATGCCAGGTTTGGCATCGGTCACAGCACTCAGATTGCAATGCACCAGAATAGGATTAACCCATGCATTTCCTCTACGGGAGGGAGGTAGTAGAGTGACTGGCAAGTCGAATGTTGCATGAGTGTGTCTATTTATAGCCCGCAAAATGGGGTGCTGCCCTGCAGGGAGAGCTGGGGTGAAGGAAATGACATGCCTGGGAGAGTAACTTACTTCTGAGTCAGGAGCTTTAGAGAGATGAAGGAAGAAGCCTCCTGGGCCAGAGTTTTGGATGGAAAATGAACACCCAGTCAAGTCTCTAGGACTATAAGTGGGGCGGGGACTAGTTGTGAGCGAGAGTTAAGTAGGGGCCCTTACCAAGGAACATAGGGCCTGGGTTCCCCAACCCTTTCGCTAGGTCCATGGCGTTGATCAGCCCTGAGCTAATTCCTCCATGCTGCCCAGAACCTCTCTGGGCCAAGCCCTAGGGACTCAGAGATGACAGCAATACTTCCATTGAGGAACTCCCATACGCGGGCCACAGGGAGGCTCTGGAGGTGGCCTGAGGCAGGAGTATTAGGAGGAATCAGAACTACCCCACCCCCACCCTCACTCAGCCATCTGGGCTTCTCTGAACCCCTTCTCCTCCTCTGTTCCCTAAGGCCAGCCAGGGGGAGTCCCAGGGAGGCAGACCAAAAAGGGGTGGGGTGTCATCCTGGTCACTATTAGACCCTGGAACGGCGACCTTGAAAACTACTCAGCGTCTGTTGCCCGAGTGGAGCATAGTGCTTTACAATCTCTTTCCATCACAGCAAACCATCAAGGTAGGGCTACTGTTATTTTATGGTTGAAAAACGGAGGTCCTGAGTCCCTTGGGGGCTGTGCCAGCAGCGGCCAAGTTGAGATTTCCCCTGGTTCAGCAGCCCCAGACAGCACACGGTGCAGGGTAGGCTTACTGCTTCCTTCACTTCCCCAGGGCAGGTGAGTGACCTGGAGGGAGGGGGTCAACCCTAAAAACAGGGGTAGTGCTAGGACTGAAACTCTCCCTTCTTGATACCCCACTGGCAAGCTTGAGGAGCCAGGCTGCCAGTCGGGAGATTCGGCCGGTGTTCCCCCTGGAGAGGGCGGCAAGTGCCCGGGCGATCCCCTCACCTGCGTTCAGGAGATAGACCCCCGCCCCCACCCCGCTAGGAGGGTGAAAAGATGGCCCCAGGAGCCAGCCTGCTGGGAGAAGGCGGAGTGAGAGGAGAGGCTGGGGCCGGGGGTGCCGGGCTGTCCAGGGCAGCCCTCCTCCGGGCGAGCCGGAGCAGGGGTGGATTGGGAGCGCGCGGGGCGGGCCCGTGGTGGCCCCGGGGCGGTGGCGCCCGGCCGGAGAGGGTGGGGCGGAGCAGCCGCCCTGTACTTCCCCTTCGCCGCTAGCTCTACAACAGCCTGATTTCCCCGAAATGACGGCACGCAGTCGGCCAATGGGCGCCCGCGCGGCTGTCCGGAGGCGGGGCCGGCCAGGGCTGGGGAATCCCGCTAAGTGTTTGGATTGCTCGGTGGCGCCGCTGCCCTGGCAGAGTTCGCCACTCCTTCGTCGAGGCAGGACGTGCGCCCGAGCCCCGCCAAACCGAGGCCACCCGGAGCCTTGCCCAGCCCACGCCAGCCGTGCCCAGCGGCCTTGAGACCCAGACAGCCTCTGCCTTCTTCCCCCTTCCACCCGGAGTCGCGCTCCGCGCCCCCTCACGGCAGCCCCTGCGTCTCCGGGACCTTCGCGCGCCGCCGCCGAATCGCTCCTGCAGCAAAGGTGAGTCCGCTTTTGCGGCGCGGGGGACCTGCGGCGTCGAATAAAAGGCGCGCGGGGCACCAGGAAGTGGGGGTTCGAAAGCCCCAGGTTGGAGACTCGCGGGCGCGCGGCGTTGCCTGGGCCCCCGCGCGGGCTCCGGGGGGCGCCGGAGGAGCTGCGAGCCGCGGCGCGGGGAGGGCGGGCCGCGGCGTGGACCGCCCACCCGGACGAGGCTGCCGGCGCCGGGCAGCTTTCGCAGATCTGCGTGCGCGCAGCCGCTGGAGGCCTGTAGGTGGCCCGCTACGTTCGTCCCGCGCATCCACACGCCGTGCCGGGGACCGAGTGTCCGCCCACGCGTGGGTGCCCAGTGCTCCCGGCTTTCGGCGGTCCCAGCTTCGCGCCCAGGCCCCAGGTTTTGGGCTCCCTGTGCTGGTGACAAGGGCTGGCTTACTGCCCAGGTGGCTGGAGGGAATCGTGACCTACGGAGACTGCGGGAAGAGGCGCCACAGGTGTTCCTTGGGCCGCTTCTCCAGAGGAGGGGAAACCGGGACGGAAGGGTTAGCGTCCTAGTCTTAGCGTCGTGGGCTCTGTGACTGTCAGGAGGGCGTAGAATGGATTCAGGGGGGGCTGTTCAGGGTGATGGCTAGCCCTTTACAAGCTAGTGGTGACAACTCAAGTCAAGAGAATTTCTTCTTGGCATCAAGCAAAAGAAGTCCCTCCCTTCCCAAAGGATTTGAATTTTGAGCGAAAAGTTCTGAAATTAGGATATCTGTGCATTTTGTCTCTTTTCCTGCACATGAATCCTAAAGCCATCGCTTGCATGCCTGTCTCATCCAGTGACTGGCTGGGATGGAGGAAGGGGCAGAAGCATTTTTGCCTAAGATGCTGAAAAAACTTAGAGAGCAGTTTTATTCCAGGGCAGCTCCCCTCCCCACTGAGTGTAGTACTGAGTAGCTGGCTGAGGGGAGGGTAACTAAGTGAACTCGGGTGGGGCAGGTCAGTGCCCAGGTACTGTTCAACAGATTCCAGACTGGAGCCTCTGTCTTCTCTTTACAGCCAACATGCCCATCACTCGGATGCGCATGAGACCCTGGCTAGAGATGCAGATTAATTCCAACCAAATCCCGGGGCTCATCTGGATTAATAAAGTGAGTGTAACTCTTTGGATTTTCCTGCCACTGTTTTAACCCATGTACTTCTGGAGGGACCAAAGCTTCAGATGCAGCTCAAAAAGGGAAGTGATAATGGGACAGGCAGATGTTTCTCCCAGTGGGTCCTGCATGCAGGGAGGGAGTGTGCAAGGCCCAGCCTGGGCCTCACTTGCACGACTCCTGCTTTCTTCCCTTCTTGAGGTAGGGCACCCACCTGAAGGCACTTCCAGTTTCCAGCAGCAAGACTTTCCCAGCATCTGCAGAGCTGGAGTTCTGGTCTCCTCTGAGGGAGACCCTTACAAACATACACAGCACCTTGCAGGGCTCTAATCAAACAAATAGAAGACTTGAGAAGTGGATGCTGCTGGGCAGAAAGGTGGCTGGCTTAGCAGAGGACAAACGAATCAATCTTGCACCAGTCACTGTGGCCCAAGAAGCCTATAGCTGGTGCACTTGGGGCAACATAGACACTATAGGCTTAGTAGCAATGATAGTATTAATAATAATAGCTAATGCTTACTGAATACTCTGTGTGCCTGGCACCTGCTAAGTATGTTATTTACATTGTGTCATTTAATCCTCGCAGTAGTCCTGTGGGGTAGGTCCTGTTCATGTCATCATTTTCAGATAAGTAAACAGAGGCACTGAGAGGAAGATTGTAAGATCACACAAAAAGTGATGAAGCCAAGATTTGAACTTGAATGGTCTGACTCAGAAATCTTTACTGTTAACCATTAGTGATAATAACAGTAAGACCTTAGACTTCATATTTGTCACTGTGTCCCTACACATTCTCTGGTTTTTAATTCTCAAAATTTTGTTGGATATGTTTTCTCATTTCAGAGAAGAGAAAACTGAGGGGAAAAGAGATACAGTGACAATGCCAGGGTTACACAGTGTTCACCATCCAAGTCTAGCCCAGAGCTCCCTCAGTGGTATGACCAGGACCTCTTGTGTAGAAGCCCATGGTCCCAGGTGTCCTGAGGAGTCCTTTCTAATGGAAGAAGTTCTTACTTCCATGTTGGTGTTTACAAGCCAGAGAGAAACATCCCAGAGTTTCAAAATCAGGGCTTCGGGGGAGGGTGCCCTGTGTGGGTCCTAGCACATGTGTAACAGGCAGAGGGAGGTCTTTGTGAGCTAATAGTGCTGCAGCTCATCCGAACTAGGAGTCCCTCCTGAGAGATCCAGAGTGGTCTGTTTAAGCCAGCCTAAAGATGGGTCAGTCCAAGCCAGATGGCAGGGGGAAAAGGGGAAGTCAGCCTTTTCTCAGACCTGTCTGGCTGGGCAAGCCTGGGTCTCAGACTCAGCCCCAAAGTCTGTGGTCTCTGAGCTGACACAGCCTCGTGTATATGTGTGTGTTGTTCAGGAGGAGATGATCTTCCAGATCCCATGGAAGCATGCTGCCAAGCATGGCTGGGACATCAACAAGGATGCCTGTTTGTTCCGGAGCTGGGCCATTCACACAGGTGTGTGCCTGGGACTCAGGCCTAGGAAGGCCAGGGTAGAGACAAGAGGAGGCACTAACGTTAACACAGAGGCTCTCCACTGGGGTCCCTGAGCTCCCTGAGACAATATGCAGAATTACTGGGAACAGGGGCTGGTGGCAGACTAGTGTTTCTGGAGAAGAGAGTCCATCATTTCAGCAAATTCTCAAAGGGATTTCTAAAGCCAAGATCTTAGAAAGTGTGTGGCTTCAGGGGGGTTGTGGCTAGATGAGAGTTTTCCCTGGCAAAAGCATCTGTGAAAAGCAGCTGTAAGCCAGGGCACTGAAAGAGACCCAAGTCTGCCTTCATGTTGACCAAGGCCCTTGGTCCAAGGCTCGTGTGGTTGGTAGCCTCCTTTATCCTTGAAAGATGGAGCTCTAGGCCCATCTCAGAACAGTCGGCCCACCCATTAGTTACTGTTCTCTGCTGCCCAGTCTGTGCCCACTCCCATGTTTGGAAATATCAGATAAGCCCCAGCCCACCTTGTGGCTGCTGATAGCCCAAGGAGGAAGACTGGGCATGGTCTGGGACACAGATAGTCCACTTTGGGGATATGGGGACTCTAGTGCTTCTAGCTGGGCCCTTCACTGAGGCCCGCTAGATGTGTTTAAGCCAAGCCTCGGCATTTGAGAAGGTCCAGGGCCTAGGACCTGCAGAGTGTCACTGGAGTACCTGCTGGTTTGACCACTGTGGCTGTCTGGTAGCATGAGAGCTCAGGGATACCCTTACCTTCCTCCACCAGGCCAGGGGCAGCTGAGGATCCCTACCTGTGGCCCTGACGATCCTCTTTTTTCTCCTGTCCTCTAGGCCGATACAAAGCAGGGGAAAAGGAACCAGATCCCAAGACGTGGAAGGCCAACTTTCGCTGTGCCATGAACTCCCTGCCAGATATTGAGGAGGTGAAGGACCAGAGCAGGAACAAGGGCAGCTCAGCTGTGCGAGTGTACCGGATGCTTCCACCTCTCACCAAGAACCAGAGAAAAGGTATCCAAGGACTCTGGGTCCTTGGGAAGCACCCTTAGGGAGGGAGGGTAGAAGAAGGTCAGCTGGGTCTGGCGAGCCTGCACCAAGGCTGACAGCCTGTCTGCTCCACAGAAAGAAAGTCAAAGTCCAGCCGAGATGCTAAGAGCAAGGCCAAGAGGAAGGTGAGTGTGGTCCTAAGCAGCCAGGCCTTTGGTCACCTGTGGGCCAGGGTGAGCAGTGGAAGAAATGCTAAGGTGGACCTGGGCCTAAGCTGCTTTCTCCCTTGACAGTCATGTGGGGATTCCAGCCCTGATACCTTCTCTGATGGACTCAGCAGCTCCACTCTGCCTGATGACCACAGCAGCTACACAGCTCCGGGCTACATGCAGGACTTGGAGGTGGAGCGGGCCCTGACTCCAGGTGAGCTGGTGCAGGTCTGGCAGGGGACCCCACAAGTCAGTGGGATAGCTCTTTCTCTTGGAGGCATGGTGCTGGCAGATGGTGGCCCATTAGTGCAGGCTGCAGGGTTGGTGGGGGGGGGCGCTCGATGTCTTGCAAACTAAGAAAGCACACAGCCTTGACCCATGGCTTCTGCTGTCCCCCAGCACTGTCGCCGTGTGCTGTCAGCAGCACTCTCCCCGACTGGCACATCCCAGTGGAAGTTGTGCCGGACAGCACCAGTGATCTGTACAACTTCCAGGTGTCACCCATGCCCTCCACCTCTGAAGGTTGGTGCTCCTGGGGCCTGGCCTGCCTGCTTGACTGTCTGGGTCCTGTGAAGGGCTTCCTGAGAGAGAAAAGACGCTCAGAACTCCACCTGGCACTAAGCTGATTGAGCTGGGCATTGCCCAGTCTTAGCCCCCGTGGGGGGAGGCAAGCAACGGGGACACTAGGAAGGCAGTTCAGAGTGGGCTGCAGCACAGTGGGGGCTGGTGAGAGGAGGGAAGGGGGCCAGGGGCTGTATTTTGGGGTGCTGTTTCTCCTTCCTCCTCTGCAGCCCAGCATCTGAGGGTGAGGAAGGAAGTGGGGTGGGGGTGGGAAGAGGCGTGGCTTCAGGGTTTGAGAGGCTGAGTCACCAGGCCGGTGTCCTGTTCTGGAATCTCCATGGCAGGCAGGTCCACTGGGAGGGGTGTGTGTGTGTGTGTGTCTGTGTGTGTGTGTGTGTGTCAGAGAGAGAGAGACAGAGAAAGGACAGGGGATCTGGTGGGCTGGAACTGGAACTGCAGGGCGAGTGTGGCTGACTGCCAGCCAACCTCTCTGCTTTCTCCATCCACAGCTGCAACAGATGAGGATGAGGAAGGGAAATTACCTGAGGACATCATGAAGGTAAAGCCCCTTCCTACCTGGGCACTCTTGAAATGACCGTTTCTCAATGAGGAGAGAGAACCAGTGAAGCTTCCAAATCAGAGGATGGGCAGCTGCTATTGTCACCTGGCTGCTTGCATCATCCCACAAGTGCCACATTCACGTGGCTTGACTGGTGGGAAAGCCACCATGGGTAGGGAAGGCAGGTGGGAGGCCTGGCCTCCGACAGGCCATCCTGAAGCAAGCCTGGGGGCATCAGACAGCTCTGTGAGTCAGGCACTATCAGCGATGGGTCCCTGGCCTGCACCCTCTGCCCCAACATGCCGCAGCCCTGCTAGTTTGGGAAATGCACATCAGGTTTCAATAATCAGCCTTTAGGATTCATTAATATGATGGTTTTATAGAAAAAGTTAGCAAATTATCCTCCAGGTTTTTTTTTCTGCTTCAGTTTTAAAAGTGAATATAAAGAAGTTTTTGCAGCCGGGGGCGGTGGCTCACACCTGTAATCCCAGCACTTTGGAAGGCCAAGGCGGGTGGATCACCTGAGGTCAGGGGTTCGAGACCAGCCTGACTAACATGGTGAAACCCATCTCTACTAAAAATACAAAAATTAGCCAGGCCTGGTGGCGCATGCCTGTAATCCCAGCTACTCCGAAGGCTGAGGCAGGAGAATCGCTTGAACCTCAGAGGCGGAGGTTGCAGTGAGCCGAGATTGTGTCATTGAACTCCAGCCTAGGCAACAAGAGCAAAACTCCATTTCAAAAAAAAAGTTTTTGCAGTAGTTGTACCCCAGCTGTTCCATCAGCCCAGAAAATTAAGACATGTATGTAGTTCCTTATCTGTAGCTTTTCTAGTCATCTTTTCTTGATTTGTTTTGCTTACCTTTGTTTTAAGCCCCATTCCCTCTTACTATGTCCTTACACAGTTGAGAGGGAAGTTGTAGAGAGTGAAGTGCCAGAGAGTGGGTGTGAGAGGGGTGGGAAATGAATTGAGGACCAGTGCCAACATGCATTTCTGCCTCCTCCCTCCTGGGCCCTTGTCCTGACTGCAGTGCACTTCTGCATCCTATCTGAGATTGTGAAGATGGCCAAGGGTGTGATCCTGGCTGAGAGGAGCTGGTTCATTGAGGGCAGGGCCACAGGGTGAGTCTGCACTGGAAGGGAGTTGATAGCCTCTTGCTCTTCTGTCCTCAGCTCTTGGAGCAGTCGGAGTGGCAGCCAACAAACGTGGACGGGAAGGGGTACCTACTCAATGAACCTGGAGTCCAGCCCACCTCTGTCTATGGAGACTTTAGCTGTAAGGAGGAGCCAGAAATTGACAGCCCAGGGGGTAAGAAGGCCCTGGATCCATATGGCTTCTTAGAGGAGGGAGAACCACATAGGGATGGAGAAAGCTTGGGGGCAGGGCCAGGGAGCAGTGCGGTAAAGCATCTGGGGTACTGACACATTGTGAATTAGCTACTACTGCCATGCCTTAAGGTTTGCCTGAAGGTGAGTAGATGTTTGCTGCTGTGCTGTGAAGAGCGGAGGCCATGTCTGTGGCCTTCAAGGGTAGGCAGAAGCACACCTTATGCCACCGTCCCCCACCCTCATACAACCTTCTTCATATCTTCTAGGTGATATTGGGCTGAGTCTACAGCGCGTCTTCACAGATCTGAAGAACATGGATGCCACCTGGCTGGACAGCCTGCTGACCCCAGTCCGGTTGCCCTCCATCCAGGCCATTCCCTGTGCACCGTAGCAGGGCCCCTGGGCCCTTCTTAGTCCTCTAGGCAAGCAGGACCTGGCATCCTGGTGGATATGGTGCAGAGAAGCTGGACTTCTGTGGGCCCCTCAACAGCCAACTGTGACCCCACTGCCAAGTGGCGATAGGGCCTCCCCTCTTGGGTCATTGGCCTCTCAGGGCCTGGCAGGCCAGTTGTCTGGGTTTTTCTTGTGGGGTAAAGCTGGTCCTGCCTCCTGGGAACATGAGGTTCTGAGACCGGTGTGTCAGGTCAGGGACTTGGACTGGAGTCAGTGTCTGGCTTTTTCCTCTGAGCCCAGCTGCCTGGAGAGGGTCTTGCTGTCACTGGCTGGCCCCTAGGGGAACAGACTAGTGACCCCAGAAAAGCATAACACCAATCCCAGGGCTGGCTCTGCACTAACAGACAATTGCACTAAATGAATCTTGTTCCCAAAGAACCACCCCCTTTTCAGCTGAGCCCTGGGGACTGTTCCAAAGCCAGTGAAATGTGAAGGAAAGTGGGGTCCTTCGGGGAGATGCTCCTTCAGCCTCAGAGGAGCTCTACCCTGCTGCCTACTTTGACTGAGGGGCTTGGGAAAAAAACTTGGCACTTTTTCTTGTGGATCTTGCCACATTTCTGATCAGAGGTGTACACTAACGTTTCCCCCGAGTTCTTGGTCTTTGCATTTATTTATACAGTGCCTTGCTCGGCGCCCACCACCCCCTCAAGCCCCAGCAGCTCTCAACAGGCCCAGGGAGGGAAATGTGAGCGCCTTGGTTTGACTTAAAATTGGAATGTCATCTAACCATTAAGTCATGTGTGAACACATAAGAACATGTGTAAATATGTACATGTCTTTTTATAAAAAGTAAATTGTTTATAAGGGGTGTGGCCTTTTTAGAGAGAAATTTAACTTGTAGATGATTTTACTTTTTATGGAAACACTGATGGACTCATTATTGGCATCCCACCTGAACTTGACTTTGGAGTGAACAGGGACATGCATCTATTATAAAATCCTTTCTGCCAGGCGCGGTGGCTCACCCCTGTAATCCCAACACTTTGGGAGGCCGAGATGGGTGGATCACATGAGGTCAGGAGTTTGAGACCAGCCTGGGCAACATGGTGAAACTCCATTTCTACTAAAAATGCAAAAGTTAGCTGGGCATGGTCGTGGGCGCCTGTTATCCCAGCTACTCAGGAGGCTGAGGCAAGAGAATCACTTGAAACTGGGAGGTGGAGGTTGCAGTAAGCCGAGACCATGCCATTGCACTCCAGCCTGGGCAACGACAACAAAAATAAATAAATCCTTTCATTTGGCCGGGTGCGGTGGCTCATGCCTGTAATCCCAGCACTTTGGGAGGCGGAGGTGGGCAGATCACCTGAGGTCAGGAGTTTGAGACCAGCCTGGCCAACATGGTGAAACCCCGTCTCTACTAAAAATAGAAAAATTAGCTGGGCCTGGTGCTGGGCACCTGTAATCCCAGCTACTCGGGAGGCTGAAGCACAAGAATCACTTGAACCCGGAGGCGGAGGTTGCAGTGAGCCGAGACTTTGCTACTCTACTCCAACCTGGGTGTCAAGAGCCAGACTTTGTCTCAAAAAAAAAAAAAAAATTCCTTTTGTTTATGTTCACATAGACGATGGCAGAAGGAGGGGACATTTCTGTCACAGGAACATGCTCATATAAACATAGTTACCTGTCCTTGACTATCACCATGGCTGTCAGTTGATTCTGGGCTCCTGGGGCCCAAGGAGTGTTAGGTTTTGAGGAATGTGCCATAGGTGATGTGTCCTGCTAACACGCAGATGCTGCTCCAAAAAGTTAGTTGATATGACACAGTCACAGACAATCAGAACAGTCAGCAGCCCAAGAAGGGTCCCCATAGCTGCTGTGCTGGGTAGCACTTGCCATCCAGTTTCTAGAGTGATGAAATGCTCTCTCTGTACCGTTCAATACAGTAGGCACTGGCACTAGCCACATGTGCCAACTAAGCACTTGAAATGTGGCCAGTGCAATGAGGAATTGAACTTTTAATTGCATTTAATAAACTACATGTAAATAGTCACATGTGGTCAGTGGTTACCATATTGAACAGTGCAGGTAGATACTGGACTGGGGGCAGATCTGAGGGAGAGGGGTTTGAGTAGCAGGAGGACACTGGGGATAGGGGCTTGGGGCTATTTACCTGCCATTTCTAGTAGTTTGGTATTTCAGCAGCCAACAATAACTATTGGTGCTGAATACCAGCCCTGCAGTGTAGCACGAGACACGTCCATGCACACATGCATTAGGAAAACTGGCCTTACATGAAGCAGGATTCTGCCTGGGCTGATGCACACAACCTCTATGGAGGGCAAACAGTGTTTCTGAAGACCATAGTTTGGGAACTCCTGACATACGACAATGCCCCCTTCAGGTAAGCCCAAGTTACAGGATTGTCTGAGGGTGGAAGGTCTGGATATGTGCTTTTCCTGTCTCCTTCTTCAGTGTCTGGCCGTGGGGCATAAACACTACCCAGCAGTAGGTAGGCTGGCCAAGAGAAGCCAGCTTGTATCATCAGCATCGTCTAGGGAATGGAATCCTGGCAGTAATATGTTGCTTAGGAAACGAAAGCTCTATGGACACATCTTGCACATTCTCAGTCCCAGAAACCATATGGACTGTGACCCCACTCACTAGGCCCAGCCCTCTGGAAGAGTATGGGCCCTTGAAAAGGGAAGACTGAGTGAGAAAATGATGAGAAAACTACAAAATGGGCAGAGGTCAGTCTGACACATTCATCCTCTGTCAAGCTCAGGAAGTATTGGCCTCTGATCTTGGAGATGATGTGTGAGTGGCCGGTGGACTCCTGCTGGGTAAATATTCTATATGTGGATGCCTGGACAGGCCCCTATCCCAGGCCCTGCTTGTCAGAAGCTCCCCTTGGGCCGAGTGTGGTGGCTCACACCTGTAATCTTGGCACTTTGGGAGGCTGAGGCGGGTGGATTGCCTGAGTTCAGGAGTTTGAAACCAGGCTGGGCAACATGGTGAAACCCTGTCTCTACTGAAAAACAAAAAAACTAACCAAGCGTGGTGGTGCACACCTGTAATTCCAGCTACTAGGGAGGCTGAGGCAGGAGAATCACTTGAACCCGGGAGGTGGAGGTTGCAGTGAGCTAAGATCATGCCACTGCACTCTAGCCCAGGCAACACAGCGAGACTCTGTCTCAAAAAAAAAAAAAAAGTTCCACTTGGAAGCTCCACTCCACTTGGATTTCTCAAGAATAGCTTCACCTGGGAACAGAAGGCTAGACAGGATGGCCTTTTTCAGCTCCTTCAGGGACCAGCCCTTTTTAAGATTTGGATTGAGGTGGCTGGCCACCTGTGGCTTCCATCTGGGGTCTCCTAGTGGGTGATGGCAGGTGGTGGTGTGGAGCAAGGTAGAGTGGACTGATGGGAGGGAAGGGGCACCACCCAGAACGAGCAGCAGCTCTGACTTCTCTTTCTCCTGCCCTTCAGTCTAATCCCTGATGGAGGGTAGGCAGTGGGTATGTGAAGTCTTGGGCAGCTGTGGAAATCTCTCAAGTTCTAAAAGCAAAGTTAATTGCTTGTAAATTACCAAAAAGAGAGAGGAATTATGTCCATCAGCTTCCAATCTCCACAACCAAGATGAAGTCCTCAACTTCCCCATCCCCTCTGTTGCCAGGAGTTCCCTCTGATACCAGGAGCAGTTGGTAGCAACTGCTTGGAATCTCCAGGGAGGGACCTCAAAACTCTCCCCAGGCACCCATCACAATGGAGCTGGGTCCTAGGGACCAAGCCTGGAGTAGTGTGGGATAGAGCCAGACCTTTCAGGATGGAGAGCTGTCCCATCGCATCCTACCAAGACCTCACCCTTTTCCTAGGAAAAGAAACAAAATAAGGTCTGACAGCTCACCTAAAGGTGATGGCAGCTGACACTACCGAGTCATTAGCCAAACAATGCCTGAAACAGAGCAGTATTAGTAAGATCTGAACCAAGTTTGTGCTTAATAATTAGATCATTCTAAGGACCTGACAGTGCTTCTGTGGGTCATTCTCAAGAGTTTCAGTATAAGCACTAATGGTGGAAGTTGTAGGTTGAGGGAGCTAGGAGGTTGTTGAAAGATTTGTTTTGTTGGGGTTGTGCTGATATCATTGTCATCAAGGACCACTTTCCACTGGGGTAAACTGACAAAGTGGTGCTCAGCCACACCAGCTAGATTTCTCATATTGGGCCAAGTTTACAGACATTTGAGGGCATTTGTGGTTAGTCATGGGCTTCCTTGCCTTAACTCCAAAGGTGTCACTTTCATTGGGCTGGTTTATTCATTCAGCTCACTTGGCAATAGGAAGAAAGCTAGAAGCTAATATGCAAACCACCCCTTCTTGGTGAGTCAGCTTTCAACATCTCTTAGTGCACTGTGTGCAGGGTGTTGTGACCATTACAACTCCAAAGGTAAGAACTTTCTCTAATGTTTCTGGAAGTCTCCAGTGGGGCCTGCCAAAGTGGGAACTGAAATCCTGGGGTAGCCCTGGGAGGTGGAGTTTTTTTTTCTAGCAGTAATGCCTCTGGTTGGTGGGGCTGGGAAACAGCCAGGTTGTCATTCTCTGGGACCACTTGGTCTTTCACACTGTGCACAGATCCAAAAATCTGCCCTTATATGTGGAGGGGAAAAGGGGTACAGATGTCCTCCAGGCAGTCCTGTTGGAGCACCCAGGGCTAATACAGTGACCCTATATAAAGCTTTCGTCTCTATCAGATGTAATGCTATTCCTTAACTTGGGCACGACTAATCCTCCAATTCATCAGAACTCAGCACTAACCTTTCCCCAGTTCTGCCAGCTGTCACAGAGGAAGGAGGCCTGGGGTGGGAGAAGGGGGAGCTGGTGCCTTCCTTTTGCAGGGGTGAAAGTACTTGGCAGGTTGGAGCTTGGCGTCTTCATCCGGAGCTCCCTTGTGGGGCCAAGTCTAAGGCAGCAGAAGGGTATAGCTGCTGGCCACATAGTTTTCCTAGCTCCAGGCAGCTCTCAAGAGACCCATTTATGCTGGTTTTCTCAGGGTGAGGAGTTATAGAAGCCCACGTCTGCTGGCTCAGTGGTAACACACAGGCCTGCAGAGTCTGTGCTGAGTGAAACTTCAGCTGGGGAGGTAGTGGCGGCTATGGAGCAAGGACATGGGGACTGGATGAAAGAGGGGAGGCAGACGTCCAGCCCACCATTCCTCACCCAAGGAGATGATCCCACAAGCTCACAAATGAGCAGAACTGGAAAAGACCTCAAAGTCTGGCTGGATAATGGCAACACAGGTCTTGAGTGCTCACTTTGTGCTGGGTGCTGTGCCAAGCACCCCGTGTGCACCACGGCACTGGCACCCCACCATGGCCCTTGTTCACAGACCAGGAAACCAACTCTCACCACCTAATCAGTATGGAACCTTGGTTCCAACCCACATCTGTCTGTGCCCAGAATCCAGGTTGGTTCCATATCAGGCTGCCTGAGAGAAGTATACGGAGGCCTACACAAGAAGCTGGGGAGAACTAGCAAGGGGCAGGCCCCGAGCGCCTTATGCCAAGCAAGCACTTGTGGATGCTGAGGGAAGACAGCAAAAGCTGCAGCTGCTGTCCTGCCTTCAGCTCTCCTCCCTTCCCCCAGCACACACAGCTTCCGACACCCCTGGCAACATGGCTCTGCTGCTACAGGCCCCAGGGCCCCAACAGGGTAGGGTTTGGCTTGGTCCTCAAGGGAAGCAATGCCCCACCTATGCCCTGGAGGCCACCTGCAGTTTCGAAGGGTGGGGCCCCCAGGGGCCGGGACACAGACAGGTTTGTAACTTGGCCTCAGTGCAGGGGGCAGCTCAGCCACAGCAGACCTGTCTGGAGCAAACAGGGGACTCTGGCCTGCTAG